TTTGGTGGACCCCAAAGGTTGCTATGGGTTGAGCGGGTAACTTACAGAGAGTGACCTATCTCATGAAATGTTGGCTGAAATTCTAAAATGCGTTTTTGATTATGAAGGATTACTTGGTCGCGGTTGTAATACTGCTTCTCTTGTAGCATTTTCTTATAACATTTCTAACTTGGCAGGATGTCTGCTTGTAAACGCACTTATTTTCAATCTCCTGTAGAAAGCGTGCACGGTAAAAATTGACTACTTGTGTAACATGCATTTTTCTCATTGATTTTTGATGGTCTTGCAAATTCAAATATATTTTATAGAAACCATAAACAAAAACATGCTTTCCTTTAGTCAATCAATAGAAAATCACGTCTTTAGATTTTTTACTTAAGAAAGGAGTATAATTAGGTTTTAAAAAGTTTCTAATTAGGAGACTTTTCAAGACCGCGAAATGTCCATTTACATAGCATCGTACCTGGCCGTTTACCAGTGCTCCTCATAAAATGTACAACGTGGTCCGCATCCATTGAAAAATTTTATGAATTCTGTATGATAGCTCTTTAATGGCATTAGAAATATGTGCTTTTCTTTACGCGGAACGCATGCACCTTGTCAAGTGAAATCACTAAGCGCTAATGCAACGAATGATCAGGTTCCAAAGTATTCGGCCATTAGAAAACTTTTGTAAAACCTAATTATACTTCTTTCTTAAATATAAAATAAAAAGAAGACGTGGTTTACTAGTCATGGACTAAATGAAAGCATATTTTCGTATATGGTTTCTATAAAATATATTTAAATTTGCAAGACCATCAAAAATCAATGAGAAAAATGCATGCTATATAAGTAGTCATTTTTATCGTTCACGGTTTCTACAAAAGATTGAAACGAAGTGCTTTTAAAAGCTGACATCCTGATCAGTTTAAAATGTTATAAGAGTATGCCACAAGATAAGCAGTATTACAACCGCGACCGAGTAATCCTTCTTAATCGAAAACGCGTTTCAGAATTTCAGCCAACATTTCATGAGATCGGTCACTCACTGTAACTCAAATGTGATTAAAATCACGACTCCCGGTGAGGTCTTGTAGCTCAGGTGGCTAGATGGTAAACTCTACTAACGCCTTCTATTTATTGTACTGGGTTCTAATCCTGTCGATGTCACCGACTTTTTTACAGTCAGGTCAAAATAAATCATTCCAAAATCTACCAAAACAATAATTGATTCTGCTTCTGATGTCAGATGGTGGTCTGCATAATGATTGATAGGAAGAAGGCCGGATAAGTCCTATACCATTCTGTACCGTCCTTTTCCGGCCTCAGACAGGTTGTTGTTTATTCGGGACTTCGGTCGCACATTCGTGTCTTGTCTGTTTGGGGAACAGGAAAAAGAAGTTAACCTAGGTCTACTTCATGAAGTGTCCAGTATTCTCGGATTGGAGCGTAAACTTGCAATAAATTACTTGAGAGCAACCCAAAGGACAATACAGATGGCATTCCCTGTTTAACTTCCGAGGAAACTCTTGCACGGGCTTGGAGCAAATTCTTCAGAACAGGCCTTTTCAGGCACGACCCAAAAGTTAATATGAATGTTTAAGCTGAAATCCGTCAGCTACTTCAGAATAATCGCAAAATATTCTCAAACCGCAAAAACTAGTCAGCAGTATAAAATTTTGTAATTATTTCTATAATGGCAACACGGGTACTAGCTACTATCTGATACTAGAACACGTCTGCAAACTATATATTTACACTTAGTTAAGAAAGTTGCAAGACGCCGATCAGACTGCCGACAAAATCGGAAGGAATGTGATGAACGCATTACAGTATGGAATGATTCATATGTGAAATCACCATCACGTGATCACTTGTGTTTGTACGCAGTGTGTATATATGAATCTCGTTCTATATCCCAGAGGCTTTCAGAACACCTCAGATGCAGCAAAATAAAGCCTTTAACTATTTTTGAGGAAAAGCAGAATCTCAATGAGGCAGAGTTATCGTGTTGCTGACGTTTCAAGAACCTTGGCCGGTCCCACTTTGTCAAACTGTTTAATACAAAAATCCATAAAAAATAACTGACCGAGCCAGTTGATCTGGAACTGGTGGGCTTTTTCGACCCATGTTACCTTGAGCTTTTGTATATTATTGTGTGCTCGATGGCCTCTTGTGTTACGTGTTGTCATCTTGGTGGAGGATTTTTGAATCTCTGCCTCCCTTACCGGTTACTCCATCTTTCAGCCTTTGTCTTGAGTTTGTTTTTACCATCCTTGTGCATATAAGGACCCAGGATCTATAGACCGCGTGAATTTTTAGATGACCGTTGGTGGACTTGGCGCCTCATGCCACAACTGAAGTGTGAATCGTTCTGCTATTGAGATGCCTCTGCCTGTCATTTAATATTTTGATCCATTTTCTGCAGTAAACGCTCTGAATATACAGGAGCATGCGTGGTCTCGAAAACGTCTGCAACATTAAACCTTTTCTGTTGAGTTTATTTTCTTTCTAAGATTACCATGCCAGGAGTCCTCTATTAGCAAATCTGAGATTATGTGTGCTCTTATGAGGAGGACGGGCTTCAATGGAAATTAACAGTAGACCTGTGAACGGTCATTGGAGTGCACACATTAATTGGCCAGACGCAGTTTGATATGACGAATTTGTGGGGTTAATTATATAGCATCAGTAGCCAAACAGCTCTCGGTCTTTACGTCTGCTATTTTAGCCTATTACCTCAAGTCGACTATATGACTAATGTTGAGAGTGCGGCCAGATATATGAGAGAGTTGGTATTTCGTCAGCACCGGCCGTTTCTGCACATGTTTCATCGGGTTCACCCTCCTGTGATGGAACGTGCAGCATTTGACCAATGTCATGAAAAGTTGGCTGAAATTCTAGAATGCATTCTTCATTAGGAAGGTCTATGCAAGTGATGTTAGAATATCGATTATCATGCGGTTCACTCCTATAATTTTCTGAACTCGGCAGGATGTTGACTTTGAACGCATCTCCTTCCGTTCTACTATAAAATATTCACTCGGTAAATGAAGATTACTTAACTAGTATGCATTATTCACATCGAGTTACTTTGGACTTATAACTACAATCATTTTTGCAAAAATGCATAATAAATAAGCGTTCTTCCACTTATTTCGTAGACCATCATGTTTTCTCCATATTATGTCTCCAAAGGGTAACTTTTTGCTTAGAAAACTAAGTGTGACACTTTAAAAAGTTTCCGACTTTCGATCATATAGCATCGCACCTGTCAGTTTATTAATGCCCCTTATAAAGTCTATTACAGTCCGCATTCATTGCAGAACCTTGCGAATTCTACATAGTCTCTTCTTGAAGACATAGGGGAATATGCGATTTTTCTTACATGGAAAGAACACACCCTGAGGCTGAAGATGCTAAACGCTAATGAAAGGGTGATCTACCCCAAAATCATTCGGGAATTAGGAAACTTGGTGAGGTATGGTCCCGCAGCCCACCTGACTGATCCCACGAGGTTAGCTTTCTAAACAAATTTGGTAGATGTGAATACGCATACATTATAAATACCACGCTTTTGCATCAAATCCCTTTCGAAGACCATGAAGAGCGCTATTTACATACCGATCCCAAATTTCGACCTGAAATGTCGGAAGACCGACAACTCTAACTGTTCTAAGACTGCCTCAGTTACCAGTTTCGGAACCGGTGTACCCATTGGCGTTTCTTTTACCTGACTGCAGACTATTCCGTCAAGCATAAGGTATGTTTTTGGACAGAACTTCAGGAGTTGGATGAGTTGGACGCAGTCGTTTCTGCAGCTGTCTGTGATGATGCGTTCGAGTGAGAATTCGAAACGTCAGGCCAAAAAACTTCGTGTGTCAGCTATCGCTTCTTCTTCTTCTTCTTCTTATTCATCATCTTCTTCTTCTAAACCCCTCTTTATATACTTGTTCCGCTTCGGAAAATCCACCCTTGCTCCAGGTGTTCCACAGTTCGGGATTGGGTATGAATGGCTGACGATAACTAATAAGCTAGAAATAGCCATTCCAGTCTTCCTTGTCCTTGTCGGTAACGCCATTCAGTCATGCGCCGCTGTGCGACTACTGGCTGGGCTCGAAAGAGAGAGCCCGTAAGGCACAACGGAACGAGTGAGTTCCGCAGAAACGATCGGTGAGCGCCCCTCTACCAATGCAGTTTATTACTTGTCGCGGTAGTACTTCCAAGAGAATTAAGGTCTACGGCATGATATCTGTGGAACCAAACCGCACCACTCTTGCGAATCTTGACACTTGAAGAAGAAGAAGAAGAAGAAGAAGAAGAAGAAGAAGAAGAAGAAGAAGACATGCTCGCCGGGACAAGAGCCTTATTAGCCTGACGTTTCGGATTCCTGCTCGAATACATCATCGGAGACATAAGCAGATAAGGGTGGTTCATGCATACGTGGCTGCAGTATTTATAGGATGCAGTAGTCATGCTACCGCATACCTATGAATATTCACGACTCCCCCCCCTCCTTCATCAGGGATCGCTGCATGTGGCGTGATGGCCGACATTTGCGTCGTTAATTGCTGCAATTTCATCACGTGCGTTGGATGTTGGTGTGATGATTGCTCGACCATCTGACGCGCTGACCCGGATGTTGGGAAGAGTGTTCACCTGTGCGCTCCCCGCGTGGCCAGCTACTCCGAATGAACGAAGTCTCAGCACGGAGTATTGAATGGGAAGATCATTTCTCTTGTTAATAGACTGGGGGCCAGTAAACCACGACTGAAGCCGCTCCCGGCTCACGCGGTTGTCACCTCTTGCGAGAATTTTGGTCCCGTCAAATTTGAATGTGTGGCCGGAACCCGTCGAATGAGCGGCCACTTGCCTTTAGGACAGACATATGGAAGCGCTCGCCAAACTTTGGTGTCCGTGTGGTTAGGCCTTTCGTCCCTCTTGCGTACGCACCGGTTGACAAAGTTCCGCGGATAGCCATTGGCTTTGAAGACCCGTCAGAGTTATTATCTTCCGGCTCACTGCAATGCGTTTCGACACGCCGATGGAGCGTCTTTAAACAACTGCGTTTGTGACTGATTGGGTGATTGCTGTTGAAGTTCAGTACTTGCATCGTATTTGGCCTTTTTCCTGAACACTTCGGTCTTTAGTCCACCACAACCTTTGCGGCATACGAGGACATCCAGGAAGGCCAGCTGGTTGTTCTCTTCCTCCTCCATCGTTAATTTTATGTCCGTGATGACCGCATTCTGATGTTCCTTGAATGTCAACAGTTGATTCCGTTCGATAACGACGAAGTTATCATCAACATACCGGGCCCAGAACTTCGGTTTGTGGTGTTGGAAGGCCAGCGACTCTAATTGTTGCAGGACCGCCTCGGCGATGAACCCCGAAATTGACGAACCCATTGGTTTGCTCTTCACCTGTTTGTAGATTGTCCCGTCTTGACACTGTTGTCCACTCAACTGTGCGAGTCCTTTCCATTTATGCTTTGTGACTGACTACAATAACAGTGACTGAGTGTGATGAAATATTGCCCGATACAACTGGCGGCTGCCCGGAAAGGTTCGGAAACTACGTACACCTCGCAGTTATAGTAGTGCAATCCGCCAATGGAACGCTGACCCACATCGTGCCTGACTGCCTCCAAATTCCAAGTTCTTGAAAATGTGCACAACCAAAGGCAGCATGATTGCCTGGGGAAGGCTGGGAAGACTAAGAGTCAGGGTTGCATGTACTGGAACACGTGCAATGACTGAAATAGCACGGCTGTGCATTAATTTTCACATAGTACTCAGGCTACTGTGAGTAGCTACCGCGAGGAACGGTGAGCAACTGTGAACATCTGGTTCAAGAAAAAACTGAACACGTTTCGCTAGTCGATGATTAGGTGCTCATCATATACGAGCCTCGTGACTGGTAAAATGACTGCCTTCCGAGGTAACCCGTAGGAATTGTGTACTCAACTACAGGCACATGTTTGCTGACTGATGTCACTCCGTCTACCCCTGAACTCTGGATGGCAGCGAATGTGGAGTCTCTCCTAATGCGAAAAAGACGCCACCCGTCTGGCGGCCAACCCGAATTTGGTTACACTGGCGGCCATTTACTCCCAGGGAAGAGAGAACCTGACCACCCACCCATGTTTATCCGATTTAAAAGGGAAAGGTCCTGCACGATCGGCCTCCTAACCAGCCAATCAGTCAGCAGAAGCCCATCTGATAACCATAAGACCACCTAAAATTCCCTGTGCCTGCCATTCTTGTTGACGCCCGAGTGGAAAGATGTGGAAGGGACGTCTTAGCGATCTAGACTTGTTGATTGAAGCTGATGGCATATATCCCGATACCATTGGCGGCTGTCGGGATGGTGCGGCAACGTCTTGCATCTCGCAATTTCACCAACAATTTTGTCTGTGTATATGTAAATGATCCTGAGAATGTTTTCGCTATCGGCGCCAAACGCGTACGAATCCCGTTTATGCCGCGTATGGTGATGTAAAGCACCCTGTGTCGTCAAGCAGCTGTTAACAGATAACACATCACTGTGCATTAACTCAGAAAACCCCCGGAGGTCGCGACTGCGGCGACATAAAAGCCGCTCTGTTTTGGTGTGCTAAAACACTGCTGTAAACATATACACAGCCTTGATGAGGCAATTCAGGTATAGCTGTCCTTATGTGTACAGCTTGTTCTCTCTCTCATTTGTATGACCTAAATATCCGGTGGGCATTAATCGTTAAGGTCAAAGAATGGGTGGATGTATACGACAGTTCGATGTCCCCCAGGTGTTCTACAGTAGGGTGGGAGTAGGGGGCTGACGTTCGGATGAAGTCCATTATAATGGTAGAAGGCTTACGCGGCATCTACCGCACTCTCTCCTCCTACCCCACCCGGACCTGGTGTCATGATAGTGTCAACATGACCGGAGACGAATTAGGGCGCAGACGGCTGGCGCGGAGATAACCCGCGCATAGGCGTGTCGCCACACCGCTTAGTCTGCCACGTACGGCTGAACAGGGCCCCTTAATTTTCATTGATCGCAAATTTTAAGCAGGCCTGATTTGCTATCCATGTTGCCCTGAAATTCAACCAATGCCAATTTAGTCGTTAACCCTCAGCGTTACCGTACCAATCATCTAGGTTAATTATCTGTCCTCTGAACGGCATGGCTTTGTTTATTACTTAAGGCAAGTTATGGAACTTTTTGAGCATGTCTTTCTTTAGGTCAACAAACACCAAAATGCCAGCTCATGCTGGATAAAGGCAGTCCTTTCTAGCTCCTGTAGGACCAGCTCTGCCAATAAACGCGAGACTGGTGAACGCATTGAAGCCTTCTTGATCCGCTCATAGATCTCTCCAGCAGACCTGAAGTAAGTTTATTGACAAAAATCAAACAGTCTCATGAGGTGCTTAATTTTGAGCGGGCACTGAGCCTCTTCGTACGCCTCTTCAAGCCTCGAACGCCACAATGGGTGGGTGTGGTGTGAATAACGATGTCACATCGCAATGGACTATGATTTCCTCCTATCGAATCCTCTTACTTCGGAAGTCTACGAGGAATTAAAAGACTGACCGAATCGAAGTAGTCGAATTGCCTTGGGCGAAATTCTGTTCAAGTACATCCACAGTGCCAAATTATGGAAGGAGCTGCCTTTTAAGGCAAGGATTGGCTGCAGTTGGACATTCAAAATTGAGGTAGAACGGTGTCATCTGCTTCCACTGGGCGTCACCCAATCTCCACTAATGTGGAACCGGGCGCTAAAAGGCTTGTTCGCGAGCTTTGGACCCTAAAAACTGATCATCAACGCGAATGAAACGATGACCACACATTAGTCGATGCCTAACACTGAATACAAGACCCTCATTTCAATGTCACCGGCATTCAACACAAAATGATGAACAGTTTTGCCCATGTAGGCAGTAAACTCTCAGTCTTCGTCTCATTAGCAAACTCAAGATATATGACAGTTGGACCATCGTAACCGACGACGTCTACCGTGTGCTCCACAACAAGGTGAAGCAGGCACGACGACTTGGTTTATAGTGGGAGTAGACTTGCGCTGCATCTGCCACACTCTCTTCCCCTCTCTCATCCAAATCCGGTGTCAAGATAACGTCGAGAAGACCGGAGGTGAGGAAGTGCGCAAGTGGATGGCACGGTCAAGCCCGCACCTTGGCGTTCCATTTCACGAGGTTAACTGGGCAATCATGCACACGATCTTTATACCCAGCGGGAGCTGCCATCTCAAAAGTGCTGCTGTGCGGAGTGGAGACCTGACGATACTGTTCAAATATTATTTTCGAATTTACAAAATCACAAAACTTCATTAGAAAAATGCATGCTAATATGTTTACATTTTTTAATGAAGTTGTGTTTGCAAGCGGGCGAAAATAAGTGCATTCAGAGGCCGACACTCTTGTGTGTGTGGAATATGTCTAGCTCGTGGTTCGCTTTATTCAGTGTTGCAGCTCCAGTTAAGTAATTTCTCTCAACTAAAAACGCATTTCGGTATTTTAGTTAATATTTTATGAGATTGGTTTCTGAATGTGATTAAGTGTATAGGTTGTGCTGGACGGCTGTGCCAAAATTAAACAATAAACGAAAAAAATATTTTTCTCAAGGCATCTTCCACAGATAACTCTGCAAATCTTTTCCTTTAAAAAATCAGCACCGAGGTAGGAAATAAAACATATTTTTAAGACAAAAATATTAACATAAGCATTTTGCAGCTGTTGTTATGACAGGTCTCATATCTGGTTTTCTATCTCACTCATATAGTACACGCCAGAAAATGTGTCCAGAATGGCAGTACTAGGAGTTTGTGACTTGACACCTGACAGGAGATATGAGGAAAGGCCGAAAGTCTGAGAAATAGAGCAAACTGTCGTTGCAGCGTGATGGCCAAGGAGGAAGTTCGAACCACTGGCAGCATTGTATGTGTCTTCAAACGAGATCATCTTTTATTGCAAAACACAAAAAGTGATGGGAGAAAGATAAAAGTTGCAACGGAGGTATTTGCGACTCATCAGGTAGGACAGTTGGTTGGAAAGTGGACGCCAATTGTGACGAATAATCTGCTGAATTTTCTCAGAAAAATAGTAATCACGGAGGAGGGTTCAGTCGTGTATGTAGTACTTGGGGGCAGAAGGGAGTACGTCAATCTGACGGCTAGATAAACGACAGCCTTCTGACGACCATACAGTTAAAAGTTTAAAATGCTCGCCCTGTTTAGTTTCCGAGGAATTAGCGTGCAAACCTGAATTAACTTTTTTGGATCATAAAATTTTGGAATAACCCGAAAGTTGATATAAATATTTTAGTTGAAACCCATCATATCTGGCGAAATAACTGCGGACTATTAACAAGTCGCCAACAACTAGTCAGCAATATGAAAAACTAAATGAGTTACTGCACCTACAAGACAGGCACTGGCTAAATGCACGGACGCGCATGTTTCGCCGATCTTGTGCCGCTGCCGAACGTACAAAACGTGACCTATCTCATGAAATGTTGGCTGAAATTTTGAAATGCGTTTTCGATTAGGAAGGATTACTTGGTCGCGGTTGTAATACTGACTATCTTAAGGCATACTCTTATAACATTTTGTTCTTCGCAGGATGTCGGCTTTTAAATGCACTTCTTTTCAGTCTCCTGTAGAAAGCGTGCTCGGTAAAAAATGACTACTTAAGTACCATGCATTTTCCCATGGATTTTCGATGACCTTGCAAATTTAAATTAGGAAACTCCTTAAGACCGCGAAATGTCCATTCACATAGCATAGTACCTGGCCGTTTACCACTGCTCCTCATGAAATGTACAACATGGTCCGCATCCATTGCAAAATTCTATGGACTCCGTTAGACATCTTCCTAATGGCATAGAAAAATATGGTATTTTCTTTACGCGGAACACATGCACCTTGTCGAGTGTAATCAGTAAGCGCTAATCCAACGAATGATCAGGCCCCAAATTTTTTGTCAATTATAAAACTTTTGTAAAACCTAATAATACTCCTTCCATAAGTATAAAATACAGCGAAGACGTGATTCTCTATTGATTTACTAAAAGAAAGCACATTTTGTTTGTGTTTTCTATAAAATATATTTGAATTTCCAAGACCATCGAAAATCAATGGGAAAAATGCATGCTAAATAAGTAGTCATTTTTTACCGAGCACGCTTCCTACAGTTGATTAAAAAGAAGTACATTATAAGCCGACATCCTGCCAAGTACAAAATGTTATAAGAGTAGGCCTTAAGATAGTCAGTATTACAACTGCGACCAAGTAATCCTTCCTTATCAAAAACGCATTTCAGAATTTCAGCCAACATTTCATGAGATAGGTCGCGCACTGTAGGTGGGAGGGTTTCGGTTCACCTTTGGGTCCCGCAGCGTTCTCTACTGT